CAATATATATATATATATACATATATATATATATATATATGTATATGATAAAAAAATTTTGCAATTGCCAAAAAAACTAACAAAATTAACTTAAAATTTTTTTAAAAGATTTATTTATTTATTACGTACACAGTGTTCTACCTGCAGGCCAGAAGAGGGCACCAGATGTCATTACAGATGGTTGTGAGCCACTATGTGATTGCTGGGAATTGAACTCTGCTCTTAACCTCTGAGACATCTCTCCAGTCCCTAACTTAAAATTTTAAAGAAAAATTCTTTTGTTTTCCTTTAAATAGAAAACATGGATAATCTAAAATAAATTTTAAAATGTGAAGAAAAAATATCTGGTCTGACATAACCATTTACTGTATTTAGATACAATGAGAGTGCTAAACATATCCTTTTCAGTAAGCTAAAGGAAATCAGTAACCAATGAATCTATTACCTTATGGCCTGGCATAGAGGCTAATTCTTGTAATTCCAACACTTCGTAGTCACAACTAGCCAAGGTCTCAGCAGAATGACTTAGATGTAAAGACCTGGTCTCACCTCGTCAAGCTTGGCCCGAGTCTCGTTGAGCTCCTGGTTGTAGATGGTGTACTCCAGGGCACGCCTCATCTTATCCCACTTCTGATACTGGGCCAGCTCTTCTTTCTCCTCCTCCAGAGTGTGCAACCGCTCTTCAATGTATTTTAACAGCTCGTTGATTTTTTCCCGTTTGCCCTCTTCAGAACAATGGAAAGAAGACAGTGGTGAACAGTTTTCATGGGATGTCACTTCTCAAATACAAATTAAAATCACCTCCAAAGTATAGCATTATTTCATGGGTATCGTATGCTAATGAAATCGAAGATGTTAAAACAGTAAGCTTTTTTGTTTGTTTGTTTGTTTTTTAATGAAAAGCATTCACCTCCAAAGTATAGCATTATTTCATGGGTATCGTATGCTAATGAAATGGAAGATGTTAAAACAGTAAGCTTTTTTGTTTGTTGTTTTTTTTTTTAAATGAAAAGCACAGTGTGCAACCGCTCTTCAATGTATTTTAACAGCTCGTTGATTTTTTCCCGTTTGCCCTCTTCAGAACAATGGAAAGAAGACAGTGGTGAACAGTTTTCATGGGATGTCACTTCTCAAATACAAATTAAAATCACCTCCAAAGTATAGCATTATTTCATGGGTATCGTATGCTAATGAAATCGAAGATGTTAAAACAGTAAGCTTTTTTGTTTGTTGTTTTTTTTTTTAAATGAAAAGCACGAGAGAACAAATTTACACACTAACGGTCACCCTGACAGGTGGCAAAGGACCTCAGTTTACACTTTCTTTTCACACCAGTGTGCTGCTCCACAGAATTAAGAAAAGAAATTATCACCAGCATTACTTATCGGCAGTTTTTATCACTAAGGGCACTACATGCTGCTTCCATTCAATGAATACATACTTACTATAATGCAGGCATGGCATTACCTTAACTGCAGCAATCTACAGAACAGGGTTTGCAGACAGAAGTCTTCGGGCCAGAGAGAGCAAGTCTAAAGTCATGTCAGTTTACTGACTTTGAACTTGGAACTGTCTCTAAGCTGTTACATGATATGCTACAGCATTTGAAAAGAGCAAGATGTGCTAGTAAAGTTAAAACTCCACATCTACTTCTTTCTGAACAATTCAGAACTTTGTAACAACAGATACTCCAATATCTGGAGGGGAGGGAAAAGCACACCAGTTTACTGGTGAGACTTCTGAGGAAGCTAGAGTCAAAAGTTGATAGACTTGCAAAGGCCCTATTATCTAACAACAGTCCATCTTTATTCAAAGACAAAATACTAGAAACCTCAACCTTAAATTACCTCAAATTAATATTCCCTCTACTCAATATGCAGAAAAATCACCATATAATGTATTTCTAAATACTAAAAAAAGAAAATACACAAGAAAATAACTGACAACAAAAATGAGGGAGAACATATTTATTTTACCTGTTTCCTTCATTAGAGAAATGCTTTCTTCTTTGCGTTCATCATATACCCTAGTACCAGCTACTTCTCTGAGCAGCTTTAATCTCTGAGAGTCTGGTGCTGTTGCCATTTGGTTGATCTAGAATTTCGGGGGGAAAAAAAAGTAATTAGTATTAACTATTGACTATTCCTCAAGAATAAAAACTCTACCTTAAAATTTTTAGGTTTTCCTTTATTGTTCAGCTTCTTGTGAGACAGGTTCCCTTTATGTAGCCCTGGCTGACCTGGAACTCATTACATAGACCAGCCTAGGCTCCAGCTTACAGCTCCACCTGCCTCTGCCTTCTGAGTGCTGCGATTAAGGAGAGCATGAGAGCATGCCTGGCTCTATCTTAAGATCCAGTCTCACTATGTAGCTTAGGAGCTTGCCACAAACACTCAACCCTCCTGCGTCTGTTCCCTAAGTGCTGGGATTACTGAAGTGCACCACTATGCTTGGCTCTGAAAGGACTTTAAATACAAACATGCATGTGCTAGGTTTTTAGCAGACTATGGTTAAACCAACATTAATTATATAGTACACATACCATTTCCTTTTGTGTGCATATTCAAGTATGTGTAGCTGTACATATGAACACATGCCTGTTAAGTCAAAGGTCTATTCTTTAAGAGCTGCTCACCTTGTTTGTGACAGCCCTGGGAATCGGCCCTCTCCAGCACCAGGATCACAAGAATGAGCCGCTGCACTGGGCTTTTCACATGTGTGCTAGAGATCACCAAACACACAGGTCCTACTTACATAGCAGGCATCTTACCAATAGTGTTTTCTCTCAGCCCCATAACCAACATTTCTCTATTTCCTTTATCTACCAGTATCTTTTATGAGTATCACTATCGCTAAATGAAATACTACCATTTTCCCCTTAGACAATATAATAAATGTATAAAAGATAAACACCACAGTCAAAATGTATTTTGTTTCTTTTTAATTTTTATTTTATGAGCATCAATGTTTTGCCTGCATGTATGTACTTGTAAGGGTATCAGGTTTTCTGAAACTGAGATTACAGATAGCTGTGAGTTGCCATGTGGGTGTTGAGAATTGAACACAGGTCCTCTGGAAGAACAGCCAGTGCTCTTAACCAATGAGCCATCTCTCCAGCCCCAGAAGAAATTGTTTTTTATAAAAGGAAACCATTACAACTCTTTAAAATTATTTAGGTTTATCTTGTGTTATGGGTGTTTGGTGTGCACATATGTGTGTGTCTGCTGTACTCAGATGTCAGAAGGTGCTGGATCCCCTGGAACTGGTGTTACAGATGGTTGTGAGACACCAGGTGGGTGCTGGGAATCAAACCTGGATCCTCTGCAAGAGTCAGCACTCTTGACCACTGGGCCATCTCTCCAGCCCCATTACACATTTTTTAAGGCTATATTAAAACTGTAACAGGAGAGGATGGCGATATGGCTCAGTGGATACAAGTGATTGTGGTACACACCTATCAATCTGAGTTTGATCCCCAGAACCCACATAAAAGTAGAAAACAAGAACTACAAAGTTGTTCTCTGACCTCCAAATATAAGCTGTAGCACTTGTATCCACATACCATTCACACAATATTAATTTTTAAATTTTAAATTACAAAAAAATAACAGGAATGGTATGCTTTAATAGACAAAGATACTGGTACAACCTAAGTGGCATGTGCCTTAATACAAATCATTACATATCAAAATACTACAATTGCATTAGAGAAATTGTTATTCTTACACTTTTACATAAAAAAAAAAAAAAAAAAAACACCTGGGGCTGGAGAGGTGGCTCAGAGGTTAAGAGCACTGGCTGCTCTTACAGAGGTCCTGAGTTCAATTCCCAGCAACCACATAGTGGCTCACAACCATCTGTAATGAGATCTGGTGCCTTCTGAATCTGGCCTACAAGCATACATGTAGGCAGAACACTGTATACATGATAAATAAATCTTAAAAAAAAAAAAAAAAACTGGTTCAAAGCTAAGAAAGTATGGTTTTTCAAAGGTACACATATCAAACAAATAAGATTGGGGGGGCGGGAGGCATGGGACGTGGGGGGTGGGAATCTACCGAAGGATAAGTTCTGAGATGAAAATTACATGAGGAAGCAGCAGAATTATCAGCCAGAGTTTATAATCTAGCTGATAAAAAAAATCTCAAGGGATGGGCTGGAGAGATGGCTCAGAGGTTAAGAGCACTGGCTGTTCTTCCAAAGGCCCTGAGTTCAAATCTCAGCAACCACACAATGGCTCACGACCATCTGTAATGAGACCTGGTGCCCTTTTCTGGCATGCAGGGTAACATGCAGACAAAACACTGTATATATAATAAATAAATAAATCTTTAAAAAAAAAAAAAAAAAACCTCAAGGGAAAATGTTATGTAGCATTATGGTATGCTCCTGGCAATGGAAGCTTTTTAAACTAAATGAAATATTACTTTGGGGAAGTAATTTTTTTCAAATGTAATTTTTCTTCTTTTTCTGTTTTTGTTTTGTTTTGTTTTTGAGACAGGGTTTCTCTGTGTAACAATACTACCTGTCCTGGAACTTACAGAGATCCACCTACCTCTACTTCACAAGTGCTGGGATTAAAGGCATGTTCCATTACTGACCTGCTTCAAGTGTAATTTTCATAGAACTTATGTAATAATCTTAGATATGATCAATGTAACTTCCAAAAGCCAATGTTTTCCAATAAATTCTATCTCACTAGGTCAATAATAATCTAGTGATGGCACAAGCCTGTAATTACAGCACTAGGGAGGCAAAGGCAGACGGATATGTTAGTTTGAGGCCAGAGACACTGATCTACATAGTGGAAGTTTTGGGACAGCCAGGGCTATCTATAAAAACAAACAAACAAAATACCCAAATGTATTTGGTACTTCATAACCCTGAAAAACATTAAATTATATAAAATAATTAACTTATATAAATAATTAACTTATATAAAATATAAATAATTGACTTATATAAAATAATCATTCAGGAAGTTGATATCGATATCAAGAAAAATAATTTCTACAAGAAAGTACATACAATCATTTTACCTTTCCTTGTTTAACAATGTAATAGGGATTACTTCGAGAAAACCCAGCACTTTCAAGAAGATTCATGACATCATTTTTCCTGTTAATAAACAATGAAAGTTAGATAAATAATTTTAAAGCAACCTTTAATAAGCAAGCAAATTAGCACTGAGTAACACAGCATTAGGAACTACAGATTAGAAACTGAACCATCAGGGCTGGAGAGGTGGCTCAGAGGTTAAGAGCACTGGCTGCTCTTCCAGAGGTCCTGAGTTCAATTTCCAGCAACCACATGGTGGCTCATAACCATCTATAATGAGATCTGGTGCCCTTTTCCATCCTGCAGGCAGACATGCAGGAAGAACATTGTATACAAAATAAATAAAATCTTTTAAAAAAAGAAAAAGAAACTGAATCATCTCCCAGAGAAACCAGAGACTGTGTGTTCAGACTGAAAGATGAATATCAGGTAGTCATCTCCTTGTGTTTTTTATGAACCTGTGAACAAACTGTAAACATAGAGACAAATGCTTACGTGACCATCTTCTTATCTAGGAAATATTGGTCTTTTTTGGCACCAATAACTCTTCGAAGTGAAACTTCCTCTTTATCAATCTAAGAAAAAAAAAATAAAAGCTCAAAGACAGTCAAGTAGACAACTTTTTAGATAAGTTCATTTTAAAGTCCTTGACCACAACTATTTTAGAATTTAATGATCTCTAAAGATGAATATTTAGAATATTTAGGGAAATTTTTTTCTTACAATTGCTTTATATAATCCTTTGTTTACTAGAGTGGTCATTGAAATTTAAACACAAAATCCACAGACAAACTACTTATTTATTTTAGCATGAACTAAATTGTAAATCTTCAGTGCATTTAATTTCAAGCATTGAAGAATTAGCCATCACATAAAATTCCCAACATTACTATTAAAAAATACTTACTGGTAACCGGTTGTCTGAATTATCAAAAATGATTTCCACAAAAGCAGAAATAACACGAGGACCTGTACCCTCCTGAAATATGAAAAAAAGAGGCATTTGTAACTTAAATGGTATTTTATACTGCTTAAACCCATTTTAAAGTCTAGCACAGACAGCATGCCAGTACACACTTGTAATCTCAGCACCTGGGAGACTAGGGAAGGAGACTGACTTTTAGTTCCACATCAACCTAGGCTACACAGGAAGACCCCTTTCTCAAGACAAACACTCCCCACAATACATACAAAGCTTAGTACAAAGCCTGACTCGATGGGAGGAAAACTTCCACTACTCTAACACATATTCTGATTGCCAAATAGGAAAGGCTTTGATTCAGGAATGACGAAACTTCTTTATCAAATTCTTTTTATTCTGAATAACAACTGTATGAAAAACATCAAAATAAAATATTGTGATGGTTCAGATATGAAATATCCCTACCAAAAGACTCATACTGAAGTTTTGGGCCTTCATGGGACCACTGTTTTAGGAGGCAGGGCCAAACCAGAAGTAGTGCAGCAGGGATCCCTCTTTGAGGGCTGTATTATGGCATAGGCCTCTGGCGCTGGTTAATTTCTGAGATAGTATCTCACTAAGTAATCTGGCTGGCCTCCAACTCAGAGACCCCTGTTGTCTCTACCCACAAGTGCTGGGATTAAAGGCGTGAGCCTGCCTCAATGTCCCCGTTTCTTGTCCACCATGAGATGAGGAGCATCCGTCAGAAATCCCCACTCCCATGATATTCTGTGCAACAGAACAAGGTCCAGGGATGGAAGCCTACGAAACTATGAACCAACATAACTCTTTCTGCCCTTAGGTTGTATATGCCAGGCATTTTATCAAGGCAACAAAACACTACTGCAGACAGACTCCAGTTTAATTCTAGAGGCCACCTTATCAGGGCACAAGAGCCTGCAGTCACCCAATTCTACCAATCTGCAATACACCTTGAGGATCTTTTCTTGTAGCCTTGTCTTAATGCTGGGAACTACCAATCTGCAATACACCTTGAGGATCTTTTCTTGTAGCCTTGTCTTAGGGGAACTCTAAGAAATCATGTGATGATTACTGGATAGCTGTTTTTTAAACACATGAAGCACAGTTTGTGATTTTAAATCTGCTAACAGAAATACTCACATTTAAGGTGTCACATTCAGACCACCTATGACACAACCACACACCAAGTCCAGATAATTTACCATCTACCTACTCAGCTCAGGATCTCATTCTTTGTATCAGATCACTACAGTTTCTGGAAATGGGAAAGTCCAGGCAATGCTAACATAAGGACCTGAGTTTAGATACACAGCACCCACATAAATGCTGGGCACAACAGCATCTCTGTAACTCCAGTATTTGGGGGGGTGGGGGGGGAAAACAGGCAGGGAAAGGTGCCTGCCTAGGAGCTCACTGGTTGGCCAGCCTAGTTGAATGGAATTGATGGGCTCCAAGTTCAGTGAGAACCCATCTAAACAATGCAGACAGAAATAGAGGAGAACACCTGATCTTGACATCTGGCTTTTAACCCCCACACCCAAACACACCCTCCCGCACCTAAAAGATTAGTTCTTTTAATGCCAATTTGAGAACTCTAACAAGTGTCCTCTATGATATCAGTTTCGATTACTGGGCTACAAACTCAAAATAAAAAGGAAAAAAAAGTCAGTGATTACAAAGGACTTCCTATATGTGTATACTGTGTAATCTTATTATCTGATCCTAAAACTAATTATACACAATATGTTAACAAGCTAAATTGTGGTGTCTCATTATAGTCTCATATAATTTCTTATCCGAATGAAATTGATAATAACTTTCCTTTCAGGTTTTGTTTTGTAGTGCTGGGAATCTACTGTGGAATATTAGTTTAAAATGTGTCACATTAGTTTATGCTGTGGAATATTTGTGATGCAAAGATATGCTGAATTCTTTTATGTTGCATCTGTTTACCCCTGCAAAGCTGTGTGCTTTGCCTGCCTAAAACACCTGATTAGTCTAATACAGAACTGAGCACCCAATAGCTAGGCAGGAGAGAGAATAGGTGAAGCTGGCATTCAGAGAAAATAAAAAGGAGAAAAAGAATGAAGGGGGAAGGAGGAAAAAAAAAGGAGAGGACCCCAAAGGTCAGTCACACAGACAGCCACAGAGTAAGAAGGGAAGAGAGACATAGAATAAAGAAAGGTAAAAAGCCCAGAGACAAAATGTAGAAGAGAAATGGATGAATTTAAGTTAGAAAAACTGGCTAGAATTAAGCCAAGCTAAGGCCGGACATTCATATGTAAGAACAAGTCTCCATGTATTTATTTAGGAGCTGGGTGGCAGGGCCCCAAAGAGTAAAGAGAAAACAAAAACAACAACAACAACAATAACAACAACAAAAAATAGCGATCAAATCTATGGCCTCAAACATGCTAAGCAAGCATTCTACCACTGAACTATATCACTAGCCCTAAATATACCGTTTTCCACAATGAAAAGAAGAGGCACTAAATACAAATACAAACTTTATTAGGTTTGCAATGGTAATTTCTGTATGCCCTCAACTTCTAGCTATGTATCTGAAAGCTCCCCAATCTGCAATTCTTTGTCCTCAGCAAACCTGTCTTTAGGACCAATAAGTCTTACAGAACTGTAAATGGGTTGAAGAGATGGCTCAGTGGTTAAGAATACCTACTGTTCTTGCAGAGGCCCCAGGTTCAGGTCCCAGCACCCACACAGGTCACTCACAACACCTGTAATTCTAGTTTCAATGAATCCAATGCCCTCTTTGGTTTCTCACTCATTTGATGCAGAGAGGCAAGCGTTCTAGAGCCACATACACACACACACACACACACACACACACACACACACACAAACATACACTTTAAAGGAAACAGGAATAGTTCACAACTCTAATTCCAGCACTTGGGAGGCGAAGGCAAAAGAATTATAAGTATGAAGTCAGCCTGAGCAACAAAGTGAAAACTATCTCAAAAGCAAAAAAGAAGGACTGGCAGGATGGGTCACCAAATAAGAGTGCTTACTATACAAGCCTGCTGGCGTGAGTTCAATCATTCGAATCCACAAGAAGAGAAACCAACTCCCCAAAGTCTTCTGGCTTCAGTAATATATACACCTTGGCACATGTACCCATATTCACACAATATTTTTAAAAAATAAGATCTGAAAAAAGTTCATATGGAAGAAATGTATATAACTTTCTTCTATTATGAAATTATTAGTCCTTTATCTGTCACTGATGTAGCACATTAAATTTTACAACAGAATAGCACACATAAGGACCTAACACATCATGCTCACAAAGGATTTGTAACCTGAACTGTTTTTTAAAAAGATGTATTTATCTTTACTTTGCATGTACAGGTGTTTGGCCAGCATATACATCAGCATATACATCACACACCACATGTGTGCCTGGTGCCCAGAGGCCAGAAGGAGATACAGAAATTTGTGAGCTGCTGTGTTGGTGCTGGAAATAGAGCCAAGTCCCCTGGAAGAACAGTCAGTGCTTTTAAGCACTGAACTATCTTTTCAGTCCTGTCTCTCCCACCCCCCTTTTAAAGACAGGATCTCACACTACAGCTCAAGCTGGCCTGGAACTATGAAAGCCCTGAGTGGCCTCAAACTCAAGGCAATCCTGCTTCAGCCATTCTTTCAAGAGCTGCAATCAGAGCAAGCTGCCTTGCCCAGCAATTTTCTTTCAAATCAAGGATTGACAACGAATGTTTAAAAATACTTAACAATGTCTTAAAGAGTCTCACTCACATGCAACAAAGCCAATCGCTGCTCTGGGCGGAGATGACTAAATTCATCACTGAGAACAAACTGAATTGCTAAAAACACAAAAATAAGGCTATTAGTACATTCTAAAGAAAGATTTGCAGCTTATTCATAACCCCATATCTTAATAGAATATAACATATCAGATAATAAACATTGCAGATGAATTGTTTCATAAACACAAAATGATTGTAGACAATTTTCCAGGATATCAAACTAATCTAGTAGGATGATATTATCAATAAACTACTCTTTCATTGAAATATAAAAAGACATTCAAGTATCAAAAAAAAATAGAGAAGCAGAGGGTAGGTCTACTCCCTATTAAAAGTATATACTATACCAATTAATTAGGTCAACATTATAAAGACATGCACTCTATAAAACTACATAAACAGGCCACACAAGGTTTTGATCACCTGAAACAATCTGTTTGCCTAATAACAGTGCAATCATGTACTGTTACAGCTGAACACATTTTTGCAAACTAAGAAATACAGGGAACTGTTTCAAATTCCCAGCTCATACTGCACTGCTTAAGATCACACTTCTGTGAGAACTAGTTCTACATTCCACATCAAATACCTAACCAATAGACTACTGTCCAAGATATGGAATGCTTTAATTTAGCTGTTCTGGTCCAGATCTACCCAAGAGATCTCTAAAATACAGTCAGTGTGAAAACACAAGGGAGGGAGCACTCACGTATGCTGTCATGTGCTTTGACAGACTGGGATGGGGAGATTCACACTGTCCACCTTTCCCTGGGATCTGAGATGCATGTTTTGTTTCAACCTGCTCTCTGACCACCACCAAATTACAACCATTATAGGGCTCTCAGTACCCTTCAGATACACATAAAAAGGAATAAAACCTTTACTCCTACTAAATCCTGTTTCCACAAGCACTATCAACTAAGCTAACATTTAAACCCCTCTTTATATAGTCCAATGCCACTGATTTTTTTTCTTTTCAAAAGACTTGCTAACAAAGGCATGTTGTTCTTTTTTTTTTTTTAAACAAGCGTTCTGCCTTAATTTAGGCCTGCATGACAGAAGAGGGCACCAGATCCCATTATAGATGGTTGTGAGCCACCATGCATTTGCTGGGAATTGAACTCAGAACCTCTGAAAGAGCAGCCGGTGTGCTTAACCTCTGAGTCATCTCTTCAGCCCAAGCATGTCATTCTTAATACATTTTTATCATCTTCAAACAGGTATCAGCATTTTTACTGCACTGCTCTATCCTTTCTCAGGATCTATCCAAGATATACACAGCCATTATTAGCAAAAATAATTGAACAAGTGTTTTGGCTGTCTCACAAAGCCAGAACAGAAAACAGACATATTCTAACCCACTACACTAAACCAACTATGAATGATATTGAACAAGTGTTTTGGCTGTCTCACAAAGCCAGAACAGAAAACAGACAATTCAGATCCTCATATTCTAACCCACTACACTAAACCAACTATGAATGACTTCTTAGGTTTCCTGTAGACACAGTCTCAGAAATCAATCACTGTAATAAACTATTAAAGACACCTGAGGACTGAAGAGATGGCTCAGCAGTTAAGAGCACTGACTGCTCTTCCAGAGGACCCAGGTTGAAATCCCAGCATCCATATGGTAACTCACATCTGTAACTCTAGTTCCAGGGACACCATTGGCAAAACACCAATGTACATAAAATTAAAAAAAAAAAAAAAAGACACTGAAGTCTTCATATAATTAAAATCCAAAAATCTGTACTTACCATAAAAAAAGTTGCTTTTTCCAGATCCATTTCTGCCCACTATAAAAATTTCAAAAGGTACATGTCAGTTCATATAAGACAGTCAACTTAAAATTACTAAATCTATTTTTAATTTGTTCCACAGTATTTTTTTTAATTATTTGGGAATTCCACATTATGAACCTGAAGCATATTCAATTCTCAGTCCTCCCAAGTATGGCCCACCCATCCTTCCCACCCCCACCCCCGAATTTTAAAATTTTAAATGCAACTTTCTAACATAATACCTTAATATTGAAATTAAACAAAAGTGATGGCTAAAAGAAACAAGTAGAGCTAAAACTACCTGCTAAATTTAATACTTATATAGATTTTAGATAGTTTTTGCTTGTGGCAGGTCTACACTAGGTCTTCCTACACAGCCCTGGTTGGTCTGTACTCACTAGCTTCTCTAGCTTCTCATTTTGTAATCCTGCTGCCTCTGCTTCCCAAGTGCTGAGATCACAGGAGCAGTGCACTGTCACACCAGGCTTCAAGTCGTTTTTCTTTCTGGCTAGTTTTCTGTGAATGTGTTGCGTGTGTATCCCCATGCATACATGTGGGGGACAAAAGTCAGCACGGGTGCCTTCCTCTCTTGCTCACCCTAATTTCTGAGATGGCCTCTCACTGAACCTGGAGCTCACTCTTTCGGCTAGACTGACTGGCTACCAACCCCATACAATGGATTTCAGCCCCAGTGCTAAGGTTACAGATACACACTGACACTCCCCACTCTACATGAGTGCTGAAACACAAACTCAAGTCTCATGCTTGCACTGCAAGCGCTTTACCCACTAAGCCACCCCCTCAGATAGTTGATCTTTTGTTCTCTCTCACAATAGTTTAAATAGAAGCAACTTACATTACCTGACATTGGTAACTCATAAAAATGCACGAAAAATTATATGTAAATTATACATGATATTTTTAGCAATTTAGATTCACATATTGTTAACTATCTCATGCTAAAGTACTTATGATCAACCCTACACACTAATGCAGTCTAATGGAATCACAAGAGTGGAGATGATTTTAAGGCATATCTTTTGTGTTTTGTTTTTGTTTTGAGACAGAGCCTCACACTATGCAGCCCTAGGGACTCAGACTCAAAGAGATCCTCCTATCTCTTCCTCCCAGTTCAGGAAATAAAGGTATGTACTAACATGGCCAGCTATAATACATGTTTAAATAAGATATTTCACTTTATTTTTAGGTTTTTCAAGACAGGGTTTATCTGTGTAGCCCTTGGTGTCCTGGGCCTTGCTTTGTAGATCAGGCTGGCCTCTAACTTATACCAGCCTCTGCCTCTCCTGGGAGTGCACCACCACACCCAGAGGAAATCTTATTTTTAAGTGTGTGTATGTGTGTGCACACTCTCCAGAACAAGTTTGAGTGAAGGATACTAGAACTGAAGAATGGTCCTCTACAAAAGCAGAATGTTCTCCTAACTGCTGAGTCAACTCTCCAGCTCTGTGAGGTGCTTTTCACTCAATTTGAATGTCATGGGCCAAATCCTAGGTAATATGAATACCAAAAATACCACCTTGATGATTAGTAGAAGGAACAATCCATTGGTGTATAGCAATAATAGTAAGATAAATAATAGTAAGATAAATAAGGAGCACTCTTGCTTAGAGGGAAACACCCACTGTCAAGTGATAAAAAGCCGAGAATGCTAGAAATAGAAATCATTATTTTGTTACTATTAGACTAAAGGCAAAGCTCATCAATAAATGCTAAGCCATAAAGGCAATAAAAAAAAAAAAGGCAGTCGCATGGAGCTAATGGAATGGCTCAGTGCTTAAAAGCACTGGCTCCTCTTCCACAGGTCCTGAATTCAGTTCCCAACACCCACAACTGTCTGTAACTCTAGTTCTAGGGAATCTGTTCTCTTCTAGTCTCCAGTCACCATGCATGCTCACAGAATAAATTTAAAACTAGAATAGCCGCATGGTCCAAAAGTATATCCACACATTAGGTATCTGCAAGGGTGGAAAAAGTATCTCCCTGTACTATTTACAAGGGGGGGGGGAGAACCACAAGGTAGTGAAAACAATGACCATGACCCTGACTAGTTAGCAGTGTATCAACAACACCAATAAGAGATGAATGGACCTGTCTCCAAAACTGATAATATGAGAAGACAGACACTGTAGTGCGTTTCAGAACTAACAGTGCTAGAAAAGACAAAAACAAGCACAGTGGTACAGACTTGTAATCAAAACACTCTGAAGAGTAAAGTATGGGGGTTTCCAATTAAAAGCAGCCTGAGCAACACAGCTAGGCACTATCTCTAAAGTAAATAGATAGTAAGAAATAAATTTAAATAGAAAACACTTTCCACGGGTAATGCTTCTCCCAGTAGCCAAATGCTGTGAAATGTTAATCACGGAGGCCCACGTACCCCTAAACATTACAAGACATTGCTGATGTACTTGGTTGCCCACTACCAACGTTTTAAGGTCCTATTGCTGAAGACATCACATGTTCGGGTTGCAAGACAATGAGTAATCAGGCTGTATCTGAGCTGGACACTTCCTTCCTACTGGGTAACTTTCACAGTACTGCAAAGTATTACAGTAGCTGGTGGGGGACAAAAGTCATCAATGGTCCTAATCCAGCTGTGGGTCCCATAAACGACAATAATAACCTGCCTGGTGGTGTGTAATAGTGGCATGACTATTGTGGGGTAACAACAGCATTCTGTCTGGATGTGCAGCTCCCCCACAGGTGGAAACTTTAGGTCTGATCTTGTGAACCTAGACAAACTCCCATGGTTAGGGCAGTCAAAGGCCCAGGGAAGAGCCTACTACAGTTTTGCCAAACGGACATGGTAGTTTCGGGGTTTGTTCTTGAGGTTATGTTTTCATGTGTATGGGTGTTTTGACTGCAAGCATATCTGAATACTAGACACACACCTGGTGTCTGTGGGATCCTCTTGAACTCAAGCTACAGACAGTTGTTAAATGCCGTGTAGATGCTAGGACTCCAACCAGTGTCACCTGAAGGATCAAGCAGTCAGTGCCCTTAATTGCGGAGCTATTTCTTCAGCCCCTAAATTGACATGGTATAAAACTGCCTACTAGACTTTATGTTTACGCCCATAGATTGGTGCTGCTCTCAGGCTTCATTAGAGAAGCTTCGTTTTGCAAAGGGCAGTGGTTAATGCAATGACTCATGACTGGCCAAAGTGCAGTGTCTATGAAGTGCTTTTTCCTAAATGGATGCGCTCTATCATCCTTCAAGGCTGAGGGAACATCACAGAAGAGAAGGCAGAAACAATGCAAAGCCAGAGGTTGGGAAGAAGTGCTGTGAAAGGTCTTATAGACATGACGTGCCCACTACAGTCATCCATTCACCACAGCTGTGATAACCTGCACGAGACTGGACCCAGCATCATTTCATCACAGCTGGCTAACAAGCTCAATAAGCCCCATCACTCCCTGAGGGACTATGGTAACCAACATGCACTGAGGAGAAAGCATCATTTTCTTCAGTGGTGCAGTCACTGATAAGTTGTCAGGCTCCAATATGTAACTAGTTAGTCTCAGACTCACACTCCAGTAAGCAACCATAATTAAATTCAGTGGGTCAGAAAGGAAAAATAAGTAGGAGGGGGCTTGTCAGGAAGCAGGGCTTCAGTTTTTGGTGGGAGTGAGGATAAGAGACATCTGGATTTTGTGAAAACTCATTATACACATGTATGAAATTGTCAAATTTTTAAAAGAAAAAAAAATGAAGGTGTTGAAATATTCCAGATTAAAGGCTCTAAAAAAAAAACGACTATTAAATCTAGTAGTTAATAATAAACTGCATCTTGTATTAGGGGGTATCCTATAAAGAACACTTCTGGGTCTATTAAATTAGCTAAGCCTGGAGTGAATGAAATTGTTAAGCTATGTAAGATAGTTACACAATGACTACAAGAATACCCCAATCTTGCAAAGTGTATATTGAAGTGAGAGGCAAAAGATACATGTAAGGGGTGTGCGTGTGTGTGCGTGTGTGCGTGCGTGTGTGTGTGTGTGTGTGTGTGTGTGTGTGTGTGTGTAAGTGTAATAAAAAAAGTACAAAGATTAGAAACAATCATTTGTTCTCATTGGGAAATTTTTTTCTGTAAAATCAAAATTATTTCTAAATAAAATCTGAAAAGTCCATCAAGTGAGTATATGTAAGCACTTAAAATGACAACTGAAGATAGAGAGATGCTAATGGTTAAGAGCACAGAGCTCTTACAGGAGACAAATTTGCTTCCTAGCACCTACGTCATGTGGCTCACAACCACCTGTATCTTCCAGCTGCAGAGAATGCCTTCTGCCCGCTCGCCCCCCCCACACACCTTAAAAGTAAATAACAATTTATTAATAACTAGAAAAAAATTACTCCTATCCATGGAGTAAAACACTAAAAATCTTAAAGGAAAGGCATTCAAGATCTACTCTGAGCTGGGCACAGTGGCTCATGCTTGTAAGTCTAGTACTCAGAGGGCAGAGAAAGGAGAGTTACAGCAAGTTCCACACTGGCCTAGTCGCCAGCATTGAGGCAGCAGGGTCTTGAGTTTGATGCCAGACTTGGCTACACTTGACTCTGAATGAAAAATAAAAATTATTCTAGATGGGTGTGGTGGTACACATCTATAATCCTAACACTTAGAAGGCAGAAGCAGGACTACAGCCCAATGAGGCCAAAATCCCTCTCCAGCCTTCTCTTCTGACCTTTCCAAGGCATGGCAGGTCCAGAAATCTGGAAGTTATCCAACATGACAACAAACCAAATGTGTCTTCTTTAAAATAACTGAGATCAGGGGCAGGAGAGATGGCTCAGTTGCTAAGAGCACTTGTTATTAGGAGGCCCTGGGTTCACCTCTTAGCACCCACATGGTGGTTCACAACCGTGTCTTAACTCCAATTTGAGGGGATTTCTGACTTTGTAGGCATAAAGCATGAACATAGCAGACCCACACAAGTACAAGCAAGCAATCTTACACACTATGGTAGTCTGTATGAGAATGGTCTCCAGTG